AAAATATGTCACGTAGGCCTAAGCTAACGCCTTGAGAGGATGCGACGCTGGCTCTCCCTCAGTCATGGGGAGCAGTCAGACATACAAGACGTCCCTGCGCGTCCGTCACAGAAATAGTCACGTGGCCTAGTCACCTGTGATGCACTATTGCAGTATAACAAGTAAGTCTCATTCGATCTCAGACAGGGTTAGATAGGGCAGTGGTAAAGTAAACTAGAGCTAACTGTGAGTTCATTTCAGGGTTTCCGTCAGTACCCACTTGTCCGGAGTTGACCGGAGTTGACCGGAGTTTGACTGCGAGAGATTGACTGCCGTTTGAGACTGCCGTTGATGATTGAGGGTGGCGATTGTCGCCATTGGACCGATCAGAGTAGGCCTGTCACTGTTTACCGGGGTATCAAAGGATCTCTTGAGGGAATCTAGCCGCCTGGGTGCCGAGCTGACGAACGGACGATCGCTGGGGTCATCAGTCTCCTCTACCTCGGCTCACAACACCACATGTCTCGAGCAGCTTAGTGAAACCCTCTTGCTAACGGGAAGCTAAAGCTTCTCTCAACTGTACAAGGTCTGATTGGCTCACTCCCTTCCGCGTAATGGACGCACTGGGAGTACACTGAGGCTATCTGAGTAAATTAATGGTCACACACTGAGACCGTGAGTCTAGGACTCTAGGAGATACCTAGAGGAACATTTTATCTCCCTTATTACGGGTGTAGTTAATACCATTTCTCAGACTGATATTATCTTGACGTGTGTAGTTTAATAGTTCCTAAATAATTTTGATAGTATTGTTTTTTAATGTTTGTGTCCTTAAGTGGAACCAGAGTGATACTGTGATTTGATTCTTTTAATGCATCTAATTTTTCTCCATAATTCTGATCTCAGGTATAACCTTTGTTCCCCAGAGTAGTGTTTAAGTTAGGTTAGGAAGAGTGCATCTGTTGGGGTGATATTATTTTGTTGAAAGCCCTTAAGGCCTATTCATTGTAGAGTATTTAATTTCTTATTTTATTACCATTTCCTCAGTGACTGATATTATTTTGTTGAAAGCCCTTAAGGCCTATTCATTGTAAAGTATTTAATTTCTTATTTTTTAATACCATTTCCTAAGTGACTGATATTATTTTGTGAAAGCCCTTAAGGCCTGTTTCATGTGTGCAAGCAACATTTCTTAATACTTCAAATTTATTGTTGCCTGAGTTTCTAATAATTTCTATATCATGTATAACTTTTATTCCCCAGAGTAGTGTTTTAAGTTCAAGTTAAGAGGTGCGCATATTGGTGTACCATTATTTGATTGTGTTTGTAGTGTTGGAGGGAATATAAGTGTCTAAATTTTACAGTGTGTCTCATTCATCCCAGTCACAGACGCTATCCTTCCACGGGTCACGGACAATTCATTTTGTTTAGTAGATTTAAGTGTTCTTGTGCTGGTTCGGGATTTTTCTCAAAGGGGCGCTTCCACTGCCATTACCATCTATTAATCTTTAATAAACCCCAAGTCAAGTGAGAAATTAAAGTCCAGTAAATTCCGACCGGTTACATATATATATATATATATATATATATATATATATATATATATATATATATATATATATATATATATATATATATATATATATATATATATATATATATATATATATATATATATATATATATATATATATATATATATATATATATATATATATATATATATATCTTGATAAAATCACACGGGAAAATGGAAACAACGGAGTACCTTAGCTTTCGTCTTTATTCAAGACATCTTCAGAGGCAATTGGATTACATGGACAGAGAGGCTCAAACAACATAAGTATAATATCAGAACTGCATCTGAAAGCAGTGCCTTGTTCGTTCATGTTAGGAATAATAATCACCCCATTGCTTGGGAA